CCCTCTTTTTCTGTAATTCTTGCTTAAGCAAGCTTCCTGAGAAATGCACCAGAGATAAAATTTCTGAGACCTTGTATTCTAAACTTGTGATTCTAATGTAAGGGGGCAAGTGTGAGGGGAAATAAAATGACAGAAATGTCCCTAGGAACAAATAGCAGAATAACCCTGGAGATGGCAGAAGTAACTTCATTTTAGGTCAAGGAAATAGGAAGGCAGCAAAACATTTAGGGAAACTGAGAAACCAGCTTAGCACATAGGTGCTGAGGCACAGTAGTTTCTCTTCCTAGACAAGGAAAACAAGATAAAACCTTCCTAAAGACGGACATCTAAAGGGATGAGCTATAAACCCCTAAAAGGAGAGTAACATAGCAAACATTCCCAAGATAAACAAAAAAAGGGGCTTCACCAGAATAATGGGCAGTAGTCACAAAATATTTCAAGGACAGGCTGAAGTAAAGAGACCCTCTTGGACTCTCCTGTCCTGATAGCAAAAGGGGGGCAGCGGATAGTCAGCAAGAAGTTGATCAAACAGCCTATTATAGCACAGCTTTAAAGTAGAGTGGGTGGGGGTGCCCCTATGTAATCTCATGAACTTCAGCCATCTTTGGCTTGGCTCTCTCACTAAGTCCCACCCGTCAGGGGGCTTTTCTATCCTTCCAGAAACTTTGTGCTTGCTTTACTCTTAACTCCTGGTCTGCAGCGTGAACTTGCTTTAACTCCAGTCCAGTATCACTAACATTTCAGTTGAATACTTGGCTGGGCATAGAATATCAAGTTTCCCTTTATATTTTCAGGATATTACATATATGTATGCACACACACACATATATATGGATGGATGTACATCCATACATGTATCCCTAGCACCACCCTTGCCTTTTAAAAAATTTTTATTTTGAGATAGTGTCCCCCTGTGTATCCCAAGCTGTCTTGAACTCTCCATCCTCCTGGCTCTACTTCCTGAGTGCTGGAATTACAGATGTGCACCACCGTGCCAGGCTTCCTTAGAATTTGAAAGTGTTGCTCCCTTGCATTCTGGCTATTCTCATTCCAGTTCTTTTCTCTCTGGGTGCATCAAGGACCTTCTTTTGTCCTTGTTCAGAAATTCCATGACGATAAGTCTACATGTAGGACTTTTTCATTAATTATGCTCTGTTTGGTGAGATATTTTGATCTGCACTCACGTCCCTCAGCAGCTATACTGTTTATTTAATCACACCCTCCCCGCTGGGTTTCCCTGTTCTGATTTTCTGCATCTCCTGTTATTAGGGTCCCAGACCTGAATTGATTTTCTGATTTTTTTCCCCTACTATTATCCATCTCTTCATATTTCGTTCTATTTTCTGAGAAGAACAGTCCCTCTATTGAATATATAATTTTTAATTTTATCTCAAATACTCTAATCTCAAGGAGCATTTTTATGTTGTCAGTAATTCATTCAACATATATTCATGGAGAATCTACCATTTGCCGAGGTACTGTTCTAGGATCTGTGTAGTGACTAAAAACAAAACCCTGCTTTTAGGAACTTATGCTCTACTTCTTTATTAAAAAAAAAAAGATTAATTTTATCAAAATATAATTTATATGCAAAATTTTAATAAAACGTGGGTTGGGGGTGTGGCTCAAGTGATAGAGTGCCTGCCTATCAAGCATGAGGCCCTGAGTTCAAACCCCAATATTGCCACAAAAAAAACATAAACAAAAAAATTTGGGTTTGGTAGCACAATTTAGGAGACTGAGGCAAGAGGATCAAGAGTTCAAGGCTAGCATGAACTAGGACAAAGATGGAGTCCTTGTCTCTAAGTGAATAAATAAGTAAATAAAACTCAACAAGTTAACACACTCATGTAACAATTATCACAATCAAGATAAAGAAAATTCTTGGAGCTGGAGGTGTAGATCAGTGGTAGAATGCTTTCCAAAATGCACAAGGCTCTGGGTTCCAACCCCAGCACCACACAGAAAAAATTCTTGTCAAGTCAGGTGCTGGTGGCTCACGCCTGTAATCCTAGCTACTCAGGAGACAGAGATCAGGAGGATTGCGGTTCGAAGTCAGTCCCAGGCAAATAGTTCATGAGACCCTATCTCGAAAAAACCTTCACATAAAAGAGATAGTGGAGTGGCTCAAGGTATATTTCCTGAGTTCAAGTTCCAGTACCTCAAAAAAAAAATTATCATCCCTTGAGTCCTTTCCAGTCAATCACTTCTTTACCCTTTGCTCCAGACAATCACCAATCTACTTTCTGACACCAATTAGATTTGCCTTTTTTAGAGTTTCATATAAATATTATCATATAATTTGCATTTGTGTCTGGCTTCTTTCACTCACAGTTCCGAGGTTCATTCGTATTGATGTTTATTCATTCCTTTTCACTGCTGTATAATGTTCTACTGTGTTCCACAGATTCCTATCTATTCGCCTTTTGATAGGCATGATTTGCTTTTACTTTGGGGTTATTATAAAGAAACTGAAATTAACCAGTGTACACAGATCTTTATATAGATGTAAGTTTTATTTTGGGGTACATATCTTGACCTGAAATTGCTCAGCTACACAGTAAAAATACGTGTAAATTCATATGAAACAGCCAGGCAGTTTTCCAAGTGGTGGAACCATTTTATACTCCTACTGAGGCAGGCTAAAATTAGGGAAAGTTCAGGACTCATAGATATTATTTACAGACCACCCCTTCTCACAGCTTGGAAAACCACAGGCTGTGGTATCAGACATATCTGCCATGCATTAGCTGTGTGACCATAAGCAAATTACTTGATTTCTCTGAATCTCCATTTTGTCATTTCCCAGATGGAGATATGAAAGTAGAGCTAACTAAGATTATGTATTTATGAAGCAACAGGCCCACAGTAGGTCCTGAAGGTGTGTTTGTTCTTATCCATAACCTGCACAGCTGGCTGGGGAGAGGGGATGAAGGGGACAGGAAGGGCACATGAAGGGGATGCGCTCTATGTAGCAACAAGCTGGATCCACTCAAAGCTGATGCACCATTGCTGCTCTGTTCCCAGTCTTTGCCTCATTGGTTAAATTATTTCCACACACCTTCCTCAGTTTGCTTTCCCTTCTCTTCACCTACAACTAACTCAAGCCAACATGAGCCCTCATGCCACCTGGGTGTCTCCCTTGCCTTTGCTTCCCAGAACACAATGCGGGGGAAGGGAAAGAAGAAGACCCATGTTCTGGTTCAGCCTGGCTCTGACTAGGAGGGTGACCATGAGCAAGCCATGTAAGCTCTGAAGCTCAATGTCCTTACCCCTAAAATAGGGTTAGTGGATTTTAATGATGCTTCAAAAGGGATGCTACAGACACACAGAATTGAAAATTATAAAACATTGTATAAAAATTTGTTATTTTAATTTTTTCAGCATTCTTTTTTTTTTCTTTTCTTAAGACAGGGCCCTGCTATGTAGCTTGAGGTGGTTTTGAACTCGTGGTCCTCTTACCTCAGCCTCCCAAGTACTGGGATTACAGGTGTGTACTACCACACTCCACTTTAGCAGTCTTGACATTGAGACTGAATTAGAGGCAAACAATACTAAAGCTATTCTGGCAGGGTTTTCTGGCTATAACCACTCAGCCAGCCACTTTGATGTGTTTCATCACTGATTCACGTAACACCACTGCGTGCCAAACACTCTTCTAAGTGCTGAGAATAGAACAAAAAAGGTATCAGACTAAGCTTGGAGCTCTCATAAACTCTAGAAGTCAGAGGAAAAAGTACTGGTTGGTTAGGACAAAAGCATACCACCAGAAGAGTGCTGCTCTGGATATCTCTGGCCATTTAACTGTATCAAGGGGGACAAAGAAGGTGGACAGAGAATAGAAATGTATGAAGACTGAAATGAATCCTGCTGGCAAAAATCCAGAAATGAGCCTGTTTTGTTGAAATTAAATGTCCATGCATCTTTTATGTAATATCCTAGCTAGAAAATCTAAATCTAATCATGAGGAAACATCAAACAAATAGAAAATGAGAAACATCTTATTGTTTAAAATGTAATAAAAGACAAAGGAAAGCTGAAGAAAAATTTTAGATTGAAGGAGACTGAAGAGACATGAGAAATATAGTACTTCATTTTAGATTGCACCCTGTATTGGAGGGGAGTGCTATAAAGTTCATTATTGGATCAGTTGACAAAATTGGATTGCAGAGGGTAGATTACATTTACTAAAGTAAGACGCTGTCTTTAAGCTCGGAAAATTCACACTCCTTTCCACAGAGTGGTGGGGAGAAGGGCAGATGGAAGATGGAGAGGAGAAGTGGAAGGTTGAAGAGGGGAGGAAGGAGGAAAGGAAGGAGGGGAAGAGGAGAGCAGGGAAAGGGAGGTGAAGGGAAATGAGGGGAGGAGAGTAAACAAAAATAAAGCAAATGGAGCAAATTGTTAACAATAGGTGAATTTGAGAAAAGATACACCTATGTTCTTTTCACTATTCTTGCAACTTTTCCAAATACAACGTCTTAAAAAAAAAAAAAATTGGGTCCCAGAGACCTGGACTCTTAAGCAAAGCCCCTTTGCTCATTCGGTGCATGGCCCTGAATGAATCCCTTCCTCTCCGTTGGTCTGTTTTCTCACGACTCAGGACGGTTCTAGCTAGAGCTTTGGAATGGAGGTGGCCCTTATCTTCCTTCAAGGTCTCCACCACCAGCTATAAATTTGCCCCTGTCATCTCTGCCACCACCCAAAGGTCAAGTCCCTCCTTCCCAGAGTCCGGGTGCTCCTTTTCTGGCAGTCCCCAGCGTCACTACAGGACAGGCACGTGCATTTACCTTCAAGGAACTACATCCCCCAAAAGCTTTGCGGCAACACCCCACCGGTTACAACCAAAGAGAAAAAAGTTTCCTGCCTGGGGTGCCGCTGCGTGGCCTTTTGGAAGTTGTAGTTCACCCGCAGAGAGTCGCTGAGCTGGTGTAAAGCTACAAACCACGCTTCCCAGAATTCACTGCGATCCTCCTTACCAATCAGAGATACGAGTCTTGGAGCGAGGGAGGGGAAGAGGAGGAGCTGCCTGGCGCACGCGCAGTGCGCGCGGCTGGGGAATTCATGTGGAGGTCAGAGTGGAAGCAGGTGAGAATGTTGGGGAGTGTGCTGCCCTGGGGTGTGCCTGGGAGTCTCTGCACTACTCCTTTGTATTTCCATACACACTTTGGGTAATTAGGATGCGTGTGTGGGTCGGCCTTGTGTGGTAGGGAAATGAGCCCAGGACTAGCCAAGGGTTGCGCAGGGTTAGGGAGGTGTGTATGGGGGCAGGGTGAGGAAAAATCCAGACGCTATTACAAGTGGGAAGGACTAGGAAGTAAGATAAGTGAGCGGGAGAAATCAAGGTAGTGTCGGAATTGAGGTCTGGGAAGGAAGGAGAAAGAATTTGAGACTGGAGCCACGACGACGTCGGGGCGGGGCATTAAAAAGTTCAAGGCTGCATCTGCTGTGGTTCCCGCGGTAGCCCCGCCTCCCAGTCCTTCACTACCTTACAGCGCCCCTGCTTAGAGACTTTCTGCCCTATTGCTTTTGTGACCTGGGTCCCAGAATGTCATCCAGCTCCCGCAGCCATGATAACAGGTTGATGGAAGCTGTTGGTGAGTTCAGCCATTAGACCTTCGGGTTCTAATCTCGGTTCTCCCCCTTAAACATCGCTGTGCGCCTCAGTTTTCTCATCTGTAATAATCTTCATAAAGTAGTTGTGAGGATTAAATAAACTGCGTTAGAAGACTGATGGAAATGTTAGCTGTTACTGTTATTTTTATTGTTGGCATTGCTACATAACGTATTCTTTGAGTTATCTTTCCAAACCAAACTTGGACAGAACCAACCACACAGCCTCTCTTGGGTCCTCTTTGTCCATGGAATGGGAGTGCAGTTTGGGATGGTACTAAGTTCTCTCTACATAGGAAGCCTATGCTTCATTCCCATTGCTGAGCTAAGTGTCCCAGATTCCTTTCTTTTAAGTGGTTGAAAAGAAAAAAAAAACTGCAAAAGCAAAAAGTGGAGATGATTTTGCAGTTTGCCAGATGTAGTGTTACTTACTAGTTGTCTGTAAGTGGGCAATCAAGGGTACCCACTTGAGAAGTGAATAATAATACCCAGCTTGAGAAATGAACGTTGTGCCACAGAGCAGGTTTTCTCTGAGGATTTGGGGTCAACTTGTTTCTTTTTGTTTTGTCTTTATCCCCTTAGGTCTGAGTGGGTCCAACAGAAGGAAATATGGCTGCCAAAGTGTTTGAGTCCATTGGCAAGTTTGGCCTGGCCTTAGCGGTTGCAGGAGGCGTGGTGAACTCTGCCTTATATAATGGTGAGATACTTGGGGGAGAGGGGGTGCTCCTAGAAGATTTCTCTTGGTGTGTGTAACCCATTTGACATGGGTTACATGGTAGCTGCTGTCTGTGAATGTGTTTGTGGTCTAGATAGCTAACCTGGTGCCACCCCACACCACATGGTTGTATGCTATCAGAGTCCCTGTTCTTTTAGCCATAAGTTCTCTCAGAGTCTTTGTTCAAAAAAGAGCCTCTCAGGGCTCGGGAGTGGCTCAAGTAGTATAGTGCCTGTCTAGCAAACTTGAGTCCCTGAGTTCAAACCTCAGTGCCACAAAAAAAAAAAAAAAAGAGGGAGAGAGGGCCTCCCAGCCCAGTTTCTGGTGAATACTTCCAGCTGTTCTTGTTAATATGAAGTGATGGAGCCAGGTGCTGGTGGCTCACACCTGTAATGCTAACTACTCAGGAGGCAGAGATCAGGATGATCAAGGTTCGAAGCCAGCCCAGGCAAATAGTTCGTGAGACCTTATCTTGAAAAAACCCGTCACAAAAATGGACGGGTGGAGTGGCTCAAGGTGTAGGTCCTGAGTTTAAGCCCAAATACCGCAGGAAAAAAAAAAGTGAACTGATGGTACATCCAAATATTGCTGCAAAGCATCAGGATTTTTCACTGGTTGACTAAAATGAAGATTTCTTCTGCCTATGTGTGACTTAACTCAGTAAAGGCCCTAGGCCAGTTTGGGTGAACTTGTCCTGAACAGGAGCTTTTGCTATGCTAGTTTCAGAGAAAATAATTTTTGAGATGTGTTGCCCAGCTTTTAACAGTGTGGCAGTGGTTTAAAGTGGCTTTTCTTCACTTTACCATGTGGCCATAGGCAAGTCGCTTCTGCCTCTCTAGGTCTTAGTTTATCTCTACGACCACCTACAACTCTGACATTCTATAACTCACCATTCAAAAGCAGCAATAGATTGACCCACCTGGTATGTGGCTTTTTTTTGACCAAAGAATGATATTTTCAAAGTGAAGCTGGTTAGAAAAGCCCACTTGACTTATATGGCATACCTTGATATTGTGATCCTTTTGACTGCATTTACACAGCTAGACAGCAGTCACCATCACTGAATTTCTCTCTGAGCCAACAAGCCAGCTTTGTATATTCTAAACATTTAGAGAAACAGCCATTATAAAGAAAGATACTCGGTGTGGTGGTGCATAGCTATAATCTCAGCACAAGGGAGGCAGAGGCAAGGAGGATCTTGAGTTCAAGGCCAACCTGGGCTACATAGAGAGATCCTGTCTCAAAATTTAAAAAGAAAAGGAAAAAAACAAATGGGATCTTCTAAGTGTTAAGATTCCCATAGTGAAGGCACTGTTTCTGGGAGCATTGATTTAATTTGGGAGCCAGGATAGACATGTAGTAACCATGACCTCTGAGTTGTAGAAATTTTAGGAGGTGATTCCTGGAATTGCGTTGGTGAGAATTTGGGGAAGGGAGAGTTAATCAGAAGATTAACAGCGTAGGCTGGGGATCTAGCTCAGTGGTAGAGCACTTGTCTAGTATGTACAAGATCGTCATTTCAGTCTGTACCATCATGTAAAAAAGAAAAAGAAAGAAAATCAACAGCCAGTTCTTTAAAAGGAAAAAGGGTGCTAAGGAACAGATCCTATTACTGGAGTCCTTGAGGAGACATGGGGACTGGAAGTGATTGTTTAGTTATGAAGCTTTTTAGAAACTTCTTGAGACAGAAGTTCATTCAGAGAGAGCAGGAGAAGGGAAACTTGATAAATGAATAGAAAATAGGAGTCTTTAAAAGACATGATTCTTTTGGCTGAAGGGTAAAGGAGTTTTTCTGACCTATCATTATCCTTCCTTCCTAGTGGATGCTGGACACAGAGCGGTCATCTTTGACCGATTCCGTGGTGTACAGGACATCGTGGTAGGGGAAGGGACTCACTTTCTCATCCCTTGGGTGCAGAAACCAATTATCTTTGACTGCCGCTCTCGACCACGTAACGTGCCAGTCATCACTGGTAGCAAAGGTGAGTCTTGTCTGTGGTTAGCTAAAGCAGGACATGTTGGGGGCGGGGAGTGGGGGATGTTATGCTCTTCTCTTGGCTCCAGTATTATCTGAGATACCAGGATCCCAAAGTGGTTGAACTTCACATTGTAAGAATTCCTAGTGTGTTTGCCCTGGAGAGCTTTGTATGTTTTCATAGACAATACAAACTTGGAGAAACATGTAAAGGTTTATCTTAAGAGTTACATAGTGACCTAATTTTAAATCTAAATGTGCCTTTTGCTCCCTTGTTTGATCCTTTCCCATCAACTTTTATTCCCCATAGTGACTGTCTAAACCAGTCTCTGGCTGTTTGTTTGCCCTTGCAGTTGACTTGGGCTTTGCCTTACTTTCCACACCTTTGTTCCAGCAGTGCAGATGTTAGATTGCTATCTCACAGGCTGAGGCCCCTGTATCTGAGATGTTCCATTGTGTTGCCAAACAGAGCCTGAGATGAACAGCCATTACCATACTCCTCATCCACTTATAGAGGTGTGTAGGCAGCAAATAGAGTTGCAGGTGTTGTTCAGCAATGAGATTTCTGCACCTGAGGAGGAGAGGGCCATGTGGGGATTGGTGTATTATCTTAATAACACCCAGTGCCCTTGGTGCTGTTCCTCAGCAAATTATTGCTTCCTGCAATTGTGCCAGGCTTGGTGCTGGGTTTATGGCATATTTCAAAGATGACAAAAATGAGAGCTGTTAAGGAACTCCATCTACCCAGGAAGACAGACATGCAACCAAGCAATTACAGTAGAGTGTGGGGAAAACCAAGGTCATGTGGGGTGTAGGAGAGCTGCCAACTTCCCTGGGTGCTGGAAGGCTCCTGCAAGGGAGACTGATCTCTTAGCAGAGGTATGAACAGTAAGAAAGAGAAATGGGGAAATCTGTCTATAGCTCCTAGCGTGGAAGAAGCAGCAGCTTCCTATAAAGAGGCTTGCTTGCCTGCCACGGAGAGGAAATAAAAAGTGGGATGGGAGTAATGGAGGAGCATAAAATTTAACTTAAAGGCCCGCTTCTAAACTTGCTACCTCTTTGGGATTTCTTTCTGACTGACTTATGATTGTTCTAAGGATACATTATGTACCTGTTTCTGAAATGATGAGAAATCAGAGGCTTGTGTGTATTCATACATTTCCCACCTCTCTTGGTGGCCAGCTGTATCAGGACTCCAGCTCATGTGTACTTGGTCCATATTGTTGATAACTACAGGCAAGCTGTGGCCATGCTTTAACTCTACAGAGGCCTGAATTGTCCAAGGGAAGGGCCAGTTCCCTTCCTGGAACCTTTGAGAAGGGCTATGGATAATCAGACTTCTAAACCCTCACCCTGCCAGTGTCACACCTTCTCTTTAAACTCTACCAGAACCATTCACACATTGGGTACAGCATGATTTGCCTTTCTGCCTTCTCTCAGGTCACAAGAAGCAGATGAGTTTGCTAACCCCTTATATCTGTTATACATGTGACAGAATGCTTATATCTTATTTTCCCTTCACTTTTTCCCACCATTCCTAGATCATCCTGTATTTACAGAGAAGGAAATAAGCTCAGGTTAGCAAAGGCTTTATCAGGCTGCATAATAGTAGCCAGCAGCGTGAGACCACCACCCATATCTGAGGACAGCTAGTCAGTGCTGTTTCCACTGACCCACATTAGCTTTATGAGGTTGACTCCTGACTTGGGGCATATTCACCAGGTCTTGGAAGGCCTCTCTCCCAGAATTCTTGGCATTGGCTGTCTTAAAATCTTCAGTGTTACAAACATTGCATGGCATCCATTAGACATACCACCTGAATTGCTCATGTCAGAAGGAAGGCATTCAGGATGTCCTGAAAAGCTGGTGTTGAACCCTTTAAGCAGCTACTAACTCTGAGATGCTTGCTGAGTTGCCTGCCAAGGAAACCTTGCCCTCTAGGGTCTTACCAACTTTGCTTATAAATTATAGCAAATTTAGGGGAGGAGAGATCATATAAAAGGCCACTTGTTTCTTTCTGTGTGGTTTTATTTTTAACTTCAGTATTTGTCCCTTACCCTAAGATTTGCAGAACGTCAACATCACACTGCGGATTCTCTTCCGGCCTGTTGCTAGCCAGCTTCCTCGGATCTTCACCAGCATTGGAGAGGACTATGATGAACGTGTGCTGCCGTCCATCACCACAGAGATTCTCAAATCAGTGGTGGTAAGTGGATGGGACCCTCAGCCTTGAGCCCAGAGATTGCTAGGTGGCAAGAAGAGCTTGGCTGTGGGTGGATTACAATGTGACTGTTGGATTCCTGGTTCTTTTCTGCTTTCTCATTAACCTGACCTGCTTTCTGCCCATCCCTTTGGGACCAGGCACGTTTCGATGCTGGAGAACTGATCACCCAGAGAGAGCTGGTTTCCAGACAAGTGAGTGATGACCTTACGGAGCGAGCAGCAACCTTTGGGCTCATCCTGGATGATGTCTCCCTGGTAAGATCCTTAGGGAGGCTAAGGGGAAGAGGGCAACAGTTCTTGCTGGCTCCATTTCTGGCCAGACACAATTAGATCTTGCCTTCCACTTTCCTAGATGTGAGACTTGAAAACATGGAAACTTCTTTGACAGTATGGGGCAATTTCCTCCAGTCTGTTTCCAGTTGAGGGTTTCTTTTTTTTTTTTTTTTTGCGGTACTGGGGCTTAAAGTCAGGGCCTTCACCTTGAGCCACTCCAGCAGCCCTTTTTGTGATAGGTATTTTCGAGGTAGGGTCTCAGGAACTATTTGCCCTGGCTGGCTTCAAACCTCCAACCTCCTGTTCTCTGCTTCCTGAGTAGCTAGGGTAATAGGCATGAGCCACTAGCACCTGGCTCAGTTGCGGGTTCTTTACTTGCCCTCTGCCACACCATTTTTAATAATCTCTGGTTGGTGCATAACCACTGAACTGTGAGTGTTTCCCAAAGCTCTTCAGAAAGTCATGTCTTGTTAATTCTGTTTGGCATAGGGAGAAGCTGTCTGGTAAAGAGCAGCTTGGTTAGTCTTTCTCCCTAGCACCTCCCAGTCTCACCTCTGAGAATTTCCCAGTGGTTAGGGTTTGAAGGTCGGTGAAGTAGTTCTGGGATCCCTCAGTGAAAGGTGATAGAGTGCAAATGGATGGTTCTGTTCCCGAAGGCCTGGTATGGGGTCAGGGGACATCTCTAAGGTGTAAGCTGGCCTCTTAAGACATTACAGTGTGAATTTATGTGACATAGAGTGTCATAACTCAGAAAGCAGTATGGCAGGACAGCATTTCAGATCAAGCAGGTGAGAGGGAAAGGGTTGTATTCCTAGATTCTCTGGGAAAAATCATTTGGAGTGATTTGTTCGAGAAGCAAGGTAGAGTGTTTCCTGTTCAGTTCTTCTGTGCAGGCCAGGCTTCCCCCCACATCTCTGCAGCTGTTTAAACAGTGCTTCTCTGAATAACCCCTGCCCTACCTTGCTTCTAGTGCTCCAAGGGACAGGACATGTGGCTCCCTCTACTGGCAGCATGCCAGGCTGCAGCCTTTGGCTCTCACCACTTACTGTTAACCTGAACACCTTGGCTGTGAAAACACACTAAGTAAAAACCTAAGAAAAAACTTGGCATTTTACTAGACTGACCACATACTCCATTCTGGGGAACTGTGGGCTGACCACAAGGAACCATATCTAAGAGGCATGAGGAGAAAATTAGATTTCCAGGGGAAATTGCTGCCCTCAGCTGGCCCTTTTAGGAAGAAATTTTATTCCTTAATTATATATTTCATTTTTAATCTCTCAGGATTGTATTTTCTTATCCAAACTTTGAGCAAGAGTTCAGAAATGGATCAAGCAGAGCAGCTGCAGTTTAATAGTTAAGAGGGTAGTGCTAAAAACTCTCAAAGATAGTGGAGCCAGGATTTACTTCTCAGAAGTTTGGGGACTGCTGATATTTTTAAAAAGAGATTTGGAGAGTGACAGGAAACGAAATAAATACCACTTGATAGCAAAACCAATGGTCTTCCTTTTGTTTCATTTTTCAATAAAAAGTTGGATGAAGAGGTGAAGTGCTGTAAGTTAGGCATTAGGAGCTCTGAAATCTGTTGCCATTGTACTATCTTTAGAGACAAGTCTCAGTTATTTATGTGATATAGGAAGGTCTATGAATAATCAGACTTACACCCTCACCCTAACCAATGTCTTTACCTGCCTTCCCTTTTATTTTAAACCCTTTACCAGAACTGCTCACATGTTGGGAAGCCATGATTTGCAGTTCACTTTCTCTGTCTTCCTGTTTAGTGGTGGAGGTGCTGTGAGGGAAAAAGTGGACTGGATAATCCATAAGGAAAGAACATTAGGCTTTGGATCCCTGGGAACCGGCTGCATTCCCTGCTCTCAGAGGCTCAGTTTTCTACCCAGCCTTCCTCAGATCTTTGAGCAGGGCATCAAGGGATCTTGGAAGAGCACTAGTCAGTGGTGGAGGTCCACCAATAAGTCTCCTCTAGGGAGATGGTTAATTGAGTAGATACCCTCTGGTGCCCGTGGGTCCCATCAAAAGCCCCAGGTGCCATTTTCTACATGGGGTGGCTGTATTGAGGGTGACACTATGGTGTATGGGCACAGTGTGGGCAGCCAGGGATCCTGAGATATAAACTCTGTGGATGAGAGGATGGAGGTAAAGGGTGTCTCACAATGCCTCCAGCTGTTAGAGCTGTTCCTGGCCTCTTCCTTTCAGCAGCCAGAGAAACCTCCCAGCGATGCTGTCTAAGCAATTACCCTGCCTCAGCTTGTGCTTGGTCTCTCCCCCTAGACACATCTGACCTTCGGGAAGGAGTTCACAGAAGCGGTAGAAGCCAAACAGGTGGCTCAGCAGGAAGCAGAGAGGGCCAGATTTGTGGTGGAAAAGGTGAGTGTTCAACCAGATGGCAGGAGCTCTCTTTCCCTTTCTCCTGTGCTCAGCTTCCTTGTCTGCTGGGTGGCCTGGAAATTCATCATCTGTCATCTCTTCTTCCGGGGTAATCGGAAAGGGTTAAAGGAGCCTTATTCCTGCAAATGGTTTCAGTCTTTGGGGACTAGTCAGGAATATGTGAACTTATGTTCCTAAATCACCAAAGGGCAGTTTTTTCCCCCACTTGCCCAAGATCAAAAACTCTCTCCTACAAATAAAAATGTTACTCCTGGAATATTTTCAGCTTTACTGAGAAGTCATTTTTAATTATGGCTATATAGTGAAAGCTGACAGCAGAAAAGATCAAACATTATGCCAGATGTGCTATCATCGCTGTTTTTTTCCATCACTAAATTCATCCAGATGTGTCTGAGAGTGATGGAATACAATACATTTGCGTAGCAGCCTGGTTTTCCTGGTATTTGTAAAGGTTATTTGCTATCCCTCTCTCCCCATCACTAGTACTCCCCATCCAAGACCTTTTAGTCAGGGAGAATCTAGAAAAAGAGGGATGAATTGGACACTGGGAAATGTAAGTTCCTCATGGACAGGGACTTGTTTTGCATTGTGCCTGGCATTCCTCCAGAGCCCATAACAAGTCTAGCACTCCCCAGTGATAGTAGGGACACAATAAATATTTGCTGAGAGTAAACAGCTTAACAATTTCAAAATTATGTGTTGGACTGTGATTGTAGCTCAGTGGTACAACACTTGCCTAAACAATGTGTTGCTTTCAGTGAGGCTGAACTCTCTATTCTCCTACATTCCCACTGATTAGTGGTAGAGCAAGCAAAGGAGATCTCATTGAGTACCCGGTCAGAAAGCAGCCTAGTTCACTGTCAGCTCTGGGGAGATTCAAAGATGAGCCTGAGGATTGATTCCACCTTTTTCCATGACCTTCAGTTGGCTGAATCAGATTGCTAGTGATATTAATGAGGACTTTGGACTAACATATATAGCCAACAGAAGCATATCTCAACAATGATGAAAAGTGAGCACTAAGGGAAAGAAGAGGATTGTGTGGACAGTGTGCTTGGGAGGATGTTCCCAGAGTACCTTCAGGACTTGGTAAGGGTACGTGTTCTGGTCTTGGGTAGGTTATAACATGATATCCAGTGCCCTGAAGCGTCATCTTGGCCTCTCTACCTCTACTCCTTTAGGCTGAGCAGCAGAAGAAGGCAGCCATCATTTCTGCTGAGGGCGACTCCAAGGCAGCTGAGTTGATTGCCAACTCACTGGCCACTGCAGGTGATGGCCTGATTGAGCTGCGCAAACTGGAAGCTGCTGAGGACATTGCATACCAGCTCTCGCGCTCTAGGAACATCACCTACCTGCCAGCAGGGCAGTCTGTGCTCCTCCAGCTGCCCCAGTGAGGCCTGCCCTGCCTGCGCCTCCTTAGGCTAACTGGACCATAGCACTCATGATTCTGAACACTGCTTTCTTTCTGACCCCACCCCAGAAATCACTGTGAAATTTCATGATTGGCTTAAAGTGAAGGAAATAAAAGTAAAATCATTTCAGATCTCTAATTATCAAATGAAGCTCTTTCATTCTTAGGTCCATCTACTTTTTTTAACCACCACCCTACCAAAAATTGCCAAGTGCCTGTGCAGACTGGCTTTGGGTCCTTTGGGGCCTAGGCATTGGCAAACTGGCAGAAGGCAAGGTGGCGTGCGTGATAGCCAGAGCACGGCTAGCAGCCCAAGTGGACCCGGAGCCTCCATCCTGTCATTTATTGAAGATTTAAGGACCATGGCACATGCAACTGAACCAAGAAGGCAGCCCTCAGTTTTTTTCCAGACGTCCCTATGGATGCAGCTGAGGAGGTGCTGGGGAGGGTCAGAGAGGAAGTGGTCTGTCTCTTACCATAAGGCTGATTCCCTCTAATGCGTGACCAGCGGAAGCAGGTGTGCATGAATAGGGCACGTAGTGAAGGATCTGCCCCTGTTGAGGTGGGTGGGCCTGATTTTGCTGACCCCCAGGGTCCTAAAACTGGGATGGACTTGGATAGTGAGAGGGGCCTGGACTAAGATGTGAGTCCCGTTGAAGACTTCCTCTCCACCCCCCACTTTTGGATACCCAACGGAATTCCAGTTTGAAGGATTGCATCCTGCCGGGGCTGAGCTGAGCCTGCCTGCCTGCCAAAGACATGTGCATCCTGCGTTCCCGCTCCCTCACTCAGACTGCCCTTGCAGAGGGGCTGTGTGCAGCGTGTGGTGCTTTGAAGGAAATAATCATGGGAAGAAAACAAATGTGTGTAAACTGCTGTCAATAAATGACACCCAGACCTTCCAGCTGTCTTAGGGGTTTGTTTGTTGTTTGTGGGAGCCATGGGATCAGAACTGGGTGTTCTAACAGTTTTGTGTGTGTGTGTGTGTATTTGTAGCACCAGCTGGGCCAGAATATCCAGCAAGGCAGAAAACACTTTGATTTCAGAAAATGCTTTGCACTGTGTTCTGGATCCCACCCTAGCCTGAAATGAACCTTAGTGATAGCAAACCTTGGCCGAGGTGCAACATGAGGGGTTTGTAGAGGTAAGGGTGGGCTGAGTGGAGTTAACTTTCCTGTTTTGGTACCATTGCTGACTGGGTTGACCTGCCTGCCAACTGTCAGCAGCACCCCTGACGGGAGGGAAGTGGTTGGCATAAAATGCATGCCACTGCCTTCTAAGTGGTTTTCAGACACACAGGATGGTTTGGGTACTTCGGAGCAGGTTACTCTGTTTTGACTCGGGGGAATCAGAAATACCTTGGCATTTAAGGTGTACCAAATTTATGCATCTTGAATGGTGGAAAGGGAGAACAAACAGGGCTGAAAAATGAACCATGCCAACCACCCAATGGTTGCATGCAGCATGGAAACAATGTACAGAGAGGTAGCACACGCCTTGCCTGTGCTGTCACCTCTGCTCTCTGTGTGTTCCTGGACCTCACAGAGGGGCCAAGCTGCTGTCTAAACTGGATTCTGCATTTCTTCTCCCAGAGTGCCAGGGCCAGCTGTCAGCTGGGAAAGAGGAGACCTGACGCACAGATCTGGGGTGAAACAGGACTGAGGTCTTCTAACACCGTGCACTCCTCCCAGGGCCTCTCAGCAGGATGTGGGCCCGTCTATCCTCCCTGGGAGCAGGCCACATTGTGATAGGTTCCTGACCCTCACTGAGCCTCAGAATTGCCACCAGAACCTCCTGTCTTAGCCATCTGCCCCCTCCATCTATCTCAGGCCTCGTGTCTCTTCTGTGTGTGCTGTTAATGATGGAGAGGTCTGTGAGTGGTGAGGTGCCTGAATTTGATGTGCATTAAAGACTGCAGTAAAAGAGCATAATTCCTAAATAAGTTCCAGACTGTCTTCCACTCTGCAGCCTTCCTCCTTTCCTGCTGTTTATTACTTTGGACACCATTGTGGGGAGGGGACAAGAGGCTCCTCTCTCTTCCCCAGGCCCTTTTTAAAGAGCCCTTGTGTTTCCTGCATGGGGGGGTGGGGGGGGTGGCGATTAGGTTTCATTCTCCAGGTGTTGGGGAGCCCTGAGCTGAAAAGCTGCCTGCACAATATCTGGGCTCCTTCTGCCTCAGGTCAGCCCTTGGTGTGCCAGGCAGGCCAGTCTCCTATAGGCTTTGCCTTTAGCCTCCTTGTCATGGATGGCAGAGGCATGTCCAGGTGGCAGCCCTGGGGCCTCATTCTGCCTTGACTTCCACCAACTAATTCTTTTCACAAATGTTCAAGAGCTGTTAACTGGTTTCTTAGTCCCAGAGCCTCCTGATGGCCTCTGGGTTTCACAGAGGCTGCCACAATGGGCTATTATCAACTCCAGTTCTCTGGGCCTGGAATCCAAAGCTATGTCCTGCCCTGGCCAGAGAAGGGAGAGAAGCAGGAAGTGTCTTTCTCTTTTAGCCAGTCTGAATAGTTCCCTTGTTCACGCTTGGAAGGGTCGCACACTGAGAAAGCAGTGGACCCTGGTCAGTAAGGGAAGAGAAAAACTCTCAAAAGCTTGCCAGTTGCCTCACTTCTGTGAGTTTTACACACGTGCTGGTGGGGGGAGGGTTGTGGTCATTCCCACGTGAGTTTATTTGAAAGATGGAGAAAGAAATTGGAATATTAGTCAAGCCCTGACTTGGCAGATGCTATTTTAAAAGGACCTTGCAGGGCTGGTAGAGTGGCTGATGTGGTAGAGCACCTGCCTAGTAAGCACCAGGAGGCCCTGAGGTCAAACCTCAGTACCACCAAAGGACCTTCCAGCAATCAGCATGCTGCTAGTCAGTTGGAACAGCCCCTTGGTCTTTGTCCTCCTCCAGTGAATCAGCTCACCCTGTTTGGAAATGACCTAAGTGAGAAGGTGACAGGATGCTGCCCATCCCCCACATCACCTTTCCTGGGTCTCCCATTAATCCACACACTGCTTCAAACTTCATTTTTCTAAAGCAGATCTCATCCCCTCCCTGCTGGGGAATCTTCAGTGGACAATTTGCTTACTGAAGTGCAATGTCTTGTCCTGGAATTCAAGGCTCTTGTGAGCTGACTGCCCTTTCTAACCCAACAATTTTACTGCTTTCTTCACACACCATCCAGTGGTTCTCACAGGGTGGGGGCTGTCATTTAAAAGTGTGAGTGACCCCACCACTGACGAATGGATTAAGAAAATGTGGTATCTACACACAATGGAATTTTATGCAGCCATGAAGAAGAACGAAATGTTATCATTCGCTGGTAAATGGATGGAATTGGAGAACATTTTGAGTGAGGTTAGCCTGGCCCAAAAGACCAAAAATTGTATGTTCTCCCTCATATGTGGACATTAGATCAAGGGCAAACACAACAAGGGGATTGGACTTTGAGCACATGATAAAAGCGAGAGCACACAAGGGAGGGGTGAGGATAGGTAAGACACCTAAAAAACTAGCTAGCATTTGTTGCCCTTAACACAGAGAAACTAAAGCAGATACCTTAAAAGCAACTGAGGCCAATAGGAAAAGGGGACCAGGAACTAGAGAAAAGGTGAGATCAAAAAGAATTAACCTAGAAGGTAACACACACGCACAGGAAATTAATGTGAGTCAGCTCCCTGTATAGCTATCCTTATCTCAACTAGCAAAAACCCTTGTTCCTTCCTATTACTGCTTATACTCTCTTTAACAAAATTAGAGATAAGGGCAAAATAGTTTCTGCTGGGTATTGAGGGGGTAGGGGGGAGAGGGAGGGGGCGGAGTGGGTGGTAAGGGAGGGGGTGGGGGCAGGGGGGAGAAATGACCCAAGCCTTGTATGCACATATGAATAATAAAACAATAATAAATTAATTAAATTAATTAAATAAAAATTTTAAAAAAATGTGAGTGAAAGGGGGCAGTGGTTCTGGACATTAGGTGGAGGGAAAGGAGGTGACAAGGCTCACTTTATCAATAGCACCCCAGAGCAAACATGCACTGAACTGAGTTCCTTGCCCTCACCTGCACCTCCATACTTGTGCTACATCCCTCTGCTCACAGTCACTTCATCCTGGACAGCCCTTCCCCCATGCCTCCTAGCTCCAGATGCCCCCTATCCTGTGACTCTAGTTCACATTCCTTCTCTTCCACAATACTTCTGCTAATGGCCCCTTCTTCCCAGTCCCATTGCCTCTCCCTTGACTGACCAACGTATCCACATTCCATGTCTTCATTGGATTGCAGTTACATGCATGTGTGCACTTGCGTGTGTGGATATTCTCACTTGCACTCCTAAATTAGGCCAAGATACCTTTCCTCTTCTCCCTGATGTCTTCCCAAGCCAAATGTGCCTGGCTGTGGTGGGAATTACTATAGAATGAATGGAAGGAGGAAGAGAGGAATGGACTAAGTTAGAAATGAGGTCTAGGAGTCAAGGCTTCTGAATTCATCCATGTCATTATGCTGGTTATCTCAAGCTACTCTCAATTGGGGTTCTCTGGGTCTACCATCTCCTAATGCCATACCCCCTCAACCAATTTCTTACAGTCATCTCCCTTTTCCTTTATATGGCACCCTTGAGGATTCTCCCCTTGCTATCATCTGCCCACAACCCATTCTGCTTCTGTCTGGAACACTACTCTGCTCTCTATTTCTCCTTCAATTCTGCTCTCTGTCTGCCTTAAGCTCAGCTTAAAATCCCCCTTCTCCAGGAATTCCCTCTGACCTCTTTCCAGCTTTGCCTATATGTAAAATCTCCCTTTATAAAAGAGACGTTAGTTCTGGAACTCTGGCAACACTGAGATTGAGAATTGAACAAAAAGGAGTGATGAGGCACTGGGTGTTTTGGTAAGGCCCAGACACACATAGCTGGAAAACAGAACGGATGGAAATGTACTGGGCCTGGGGAAACCAGTTTGCAGCTGGGAGAGAATGCCCTTGCCTATGACACAGGGTCAATAGGGAGGAAGGGTTTCTCTCCAGCACCCTCTAACCAAGCTACTTCTGAAGAGCAAGTGAAGCTGAAAGAACAAGGCTACTTTGGGTGAGCTTAAAACTGTCATCACCCTTGAAGGCTAGGACAAACCACCCAGATTAGCCCTAAAAGCCATGAT